TCACGGGTGGAGAGGAGGCTCTGGACAGGCTTGAGAACTGACATGTGGTTGTATTTGGTTTTCTTTGGTTAGATGTGCTGGGTATAGGAGTGGAGCATGAAGACCAGTTAGAATGGAGGGTCAGATTGGAGTTGGGTTGGAGATGGGGTAAAATTGTGCTTGGGATGAGTTTGGGATTGGCACTGTCGAGGTGGTTTAGGATGGCATGGCTTTGGGATGGAAATAGATTTGTTTTGATGTTGGCTCAGAAATCTGTGGGGATTGAATTGAGGATGAGGCTGGGTTTGATTTTGGAGGTAGAAGACATGGAAGTAGCTATCAGATTTGACAGTGGCCATGAGTTTTGTTTGATGGGGAATCAAACAACAAGGGAAGACGTAAGGGTTGGCTTGTTAGGTTAAGTTGCGTTGGGTTGATGGGGTCGGGGCTGTGTATGATACAGTTGGATTGGTTTGTATTAAATTGGGTTGGGTCAGGTTTTGATTGAGGATGAGTTGAGGATATGCTTAGGGACACTCAATCCATGAGGTTCTCACTGGAGTGGAGACAAACTTCCTTTCCAGGATGAATCCAGGGAAACCTTAATTCACGTGTGAAGAGGTCAGGTCACTGGCTGAGTATATCCTTCCACTCCAGCTGTAAGATGGTCTTAAGTTGTGATTATCTATATGCACTTCTGCCTCCCTTACTGTATTTGAGTTTATCTGATCACTCAGCTAGAAACAGGGGAAGATTTTGTCAAATTCTTCTTCTTTTTTTGAGACAGAGTCTCACTCTATTGATTGCCCAGGCTGGAGTGCAATGGTGGCCAATCTCGACTCACTGGAAACTCACTGCAACCTGGGAGAGGCTCACTGCAACCTCTGCCTCCTGGGTCCAAGTGATTCTCCTGCGTCAGCCTCCCGAGTAGCTGAGATTACAGGTGTGCACCACCGCACCTGGCTAATTTTTGTATTTTTAGTAGAGACGGGGTTTCACCAATGTTTGCCAGGCTGGTCTCGAACTCCTGACCTCGTGATCCACCGCCTCAGCCTCCCAAAGTGTTGGGATTACAGGCATGAGCCACTGCGCCCAGCCACTTTTGTCAAATTCTTGAGTCACAGTTCAGGCTGGATCAGGTGAGCTACTCTGGTTTTATTGAACAGCTGAAATACTAACTTTTTGGAAATTAATGAAATCTTATGGAGTTAGCAGCGGAGGTACCAGGGCTCTTAAGAGTTCCCGATTCTCTTCTGAGACTATAAATTGTGATTTTGCATGCCACCTTAATTTTTTTTTTTTAAATCAATGTTTTGTTCTCCCTCTATTTCAATGGCGTGATCACAGCTCACTGTAGCCTTGAACTCCTGGCCTTAAGAGATTCTCCTACTTCAGTCTCCCAATAGCTAAGACTACAGTGGTCCATCACCATATCTAGGTAATTTTAAAAGTTTTTTTGGGCCAGGCGCGGTGGCTCATGCCTGTAATCTCAACACTGTGGGAGGCCGAGGTGGGTGGATCATGAGGTCAGGGGTTCGAGACCAGCCTGACCAACATGGTGAAACTCTGTCTCTACTGAAAAAAAAAATACAAAAGTTAACCAGGCGTATTGGCACACACCTGTAATCTCAGCTACTCAGGAGGCTGAGGCAGGAGAATCACTTGAACCTGGGAGGCAGAGGTTGCAGTGAGCCAAGATCGTGCCACTGCACTCCAGCCTGGGCAACAGGGTGAGACTCTGTCTCAAAAAGAAAAAAAAAATTTTTTTTTTTTTTTTTTTGTAGAAATGGATCTTGCCTTGTTCCTCTGGTTGGCCTTCAACCCCTGGCTTCAAGCGATCCTTTTACCTTGGCCTCGGAATGTGTTGGGATTACAGGTGTGAGCCACTATGCCTGACCTGTCATTTAATCTTGAGGTACATAAACTGGCTCCTGAAGGCTAAGTATCTTATTGGAGAAGGGGCATTGGATTTTACATGAGGGTGATTCTGACCTGGGAGGGCCGGTCAGCAGGCATCTCTGTTGCACAGAAAGAGTGCACAGGTCTGGAGAACAAGGAGTCGGGGGTTACTGGAATTTCACATTGTTTGACGGACATTGGATTTTGAAATGCTAGGGAACTTTGGGAGACTCGTATTTCTGGGTTAGAGTATCTGTGGACCACAAGATCTTTTTATGATGACAGTAGCAATGTATGTGTGAAACTGGATTCTGGGTTGGAAGTGCAAGGAAAAGAGAGTACTGAATGCCAAGACATCTGTTTCAGGAGCATGAGAAATAAAAGTTCTAGTTTCTGGGCTCAGAGTGGTACAGGGATCAGGGAGTCTCACAGTCCCCCGGGTGCTGGTATTTTAGGGCACATTGGGTCTTGAAGTGCAAAGGATCTAGGCATGTGAGGCTTTGTATGAAGAATCGGGAATTGTACCCACCCCCTGTTTCTGTTTCATCCCGGGCCTGTCTCCTCTGCCTTTGTCCCCTAGATCAAGTCTCCATGAGCTACGGGGCCTGGTGCATCCAGGGTGATCTAGTAATTGCAGAACAGCAAGTGCTGGTTCTCCCTCCCCTTCCACAGCTCTGGTTGTGGGAGGGGGTTGTCCAGCTTCCAGCAGCAGGGGGAGGGCCTTGGTCAGCATCTGGGTGCTGGGAGGGCAGGGGTGGAGTCCTGGGGAATGAAGGTTTTATAAGGCTCCTCGGGGAGGCTCCGTAGCCCCAAGCTCACTGCCTGCACCTGGAGAGCTGTGTCACCATGTGGGTCCTGGTTGTCTTCCTCACCGTGTCTGTGACGTGGATTGGTGAGAGGGGCCAGGGTTGGGGGGATGCAGAAGGGGAGCCAGTCCTGACTCTCAAGCTGAGGCTCTTTCCCTCCCACCCAGCACCCCAGCCCAGACAGGGTGCTGGGCTCTTTTCTGTCTCTCCCAGTCCCACTCCAAACCTATAGCCCCAGCCCCTCCATATTGAACTGTCCTCACTCCCACACCAGGTCCCCGCTCCCTCTCACTTACCCCAGAACTTTCTCCCCATTGCCCAGCCAACTCCCTGCTCCCAGCTGCTTTACTAAAGGGGAAGTTCCTGGACATCTCCATGTTTCTCTTTGTGGAGCTCAAAACCTCCAAGGACCTCTCTCGATGCCATTGGTTCCTTGGACCCTATCACTGGTCTGCCTCCTGAGCCCCTCAGTCCTATCACAGTCTACTGACTTTTCCCATTCGGCTGTGAGTGTTCAACCCTATCCCAAAGACTTTGATGCTTGCCCTCTTGATCTTGCCCTAGGACACCCAGATGCCAGCCAGACACGTCCTTCTTCCTAGCCAGGCTACCTGGCCGGAGACAACAAACGTGTCCCTCAGTCCGGCAATGGGACTCTGAGAAGTCCTCATTCCCTGACTTAGCTCCAGACTCTTCATTCAGCGGCCCACCTTTTCCATAGGAAAAACACGAGCATCCCCAGCCACAACGGCCGGCTCTCTGATTCCCTAAATCTGCATCCTTTTCAAAACCTAAAAACAAAAACAGAAACGGAAAAAAAAAAAAACACAAAAAAAAAACCACTCAGGCCAGAACTGTTTTCTCAACCTGGGACTTCCTAAACTTTCCAAAACCCTCCTCTTCCAGCAACTGAACCTTGCCATAAGGCACTTATCCCCGGTTCCTAGCATCCCTTATCCCCTCAGAATCTACAACTTGTACCAAGTTTCCCTTCTCCCAGTCCAAGACCCCAAATCACCACCAAGGACCCGATCCCCAGACTCAAGATATTGTCTGGACACTGTCCTGTGTCTCCTACCCTGATCCCTGGGGTCACCTCTGCTCTCAGAGCATGAAGCCTCCCCACCAGCCCCAGCCACCAACCTGCAAACCCAGGGAAGAGTGACAGAATTCCCAGCCTTTCCCAGCTCCCCCTGCCCATGTCCCAGGACTCCCAGCCCTGGTTCTCTGCCCCCATGTCTTTTCAAACCCATATCCTAGATCCCTCTCCTATCCGAGTCCCCCAGTTCCTCCTGTGAACCCTGATCCCCCTGATCTAGCACCCCCTCTGCAGGCGCTGCACCCCTCATCCTGTCTCGGATTGTGGGAGGCTGGGAGTGCGAGAAGCATTCCCAACCCTGGCAGGTGCTTGTGGCCTCTCGTGGCAGGGCAGTCTGCGGGGGTGTTCTGGTGCACCCCCAGTGGGTCCTCACAGCTGCCCACTGCATCAGGAGGTGAGTAGAGGCCTGGGGTCTGGGGAGAGGGTGTCTGTGTCCCAGAGGAATAACAGCTGCGCATTTCCCCCAGGGTAACCTCTAAGGCCAGCCTTGGGACTGGGGGAGAGAGGGAAGGTTCTGGTTCAGGTCACATGGTGAGGCAGGATTAAGGCTGGACCATCCTCCCCATGGCTGCCTGGGTCTCTGTCTATGTCCCTCTATGTCTCTCTGTGTCGCTATCATTATGTCCCTTGGTATCTGGCTTGGGTTGTGTCTCTCTGTGTGACTATTTTGTTCTCTCTCTCCCTCTCTTCTCTGTCTTCAGTCTCCATATCTCCCCCTCTCTCTGTCCATCTCTGGTCCCTCTCCAGCCAGTGTGTCTCACCCTCTATCTCTCTGCCAGGCTCTCTCTGCGTCTCTGTCTCCTATGCCTTCTCCCTGGTGAACACACACACAGGATGGGCGTGGGGGGACCCTGAGTAAAGGAAGGGCTTTGGCCGGGCGCGGTGGTTCACACCTGTAATCCCAGCAGTTTGGGAGGCCGAGGCATGTAGATCGCCTGAGGCCAGGAGTTCTAGACCAGCCTGGCCAACATAGTGAAGCCCCATCTCTACTAAAAATACAAAAAAGTAGCCAGGTGTGGTGGTGCGAGCCTGTAGTCCCAGCTACTCAGGAGGCTGAGGGAGGAGAATTGCTTGAACCTGGGTGGTGGAGGTTGCAGTGAGCTGAGACTGCTCCACTGCACTCCAGCCTGGGTGACAGAGGGAGACTCCATCTTAAAAAAAAAAAAAAAGAAAAGAAAAGAAAGAAAAGAAAAGAAAACAAAAGGAAGGGTTTTATCGCTTGTGTGTGTGTGGGTATGAGGAGGCCCCTCTCACTCCATTCCTTCTCCAGGACATCCCTCCACTCTTGGGAGACACGGAGAAGGGCTAGTTCCAGCTGGAGCTTGGATGGGCAATTGAGGGAGGAGGAAGGAGAAGGGGGAAGGAGAACAGGGTTTGGGGGAAAGGACCCTGGGGAGGGAAGCGGCGGGGAATACAGCATCGGGCCTGCAGGCGAGGCTACCTACCCACTTGGAAACCGACGCCAAAGCAGCAGAGCCACTCTGAGGCCTCCCCTCCCCGGCGGTGCCCACTCAGCTCCAGTCTCTCTCCTTTTCTCTCCCACACTCTATCACCTCTGACTTCCTCTCTACTTATTTCTCATTCTTCCTTGACTTCCTGGTTCCCTTTCTCATTTGTCTGTTTCTCACTTTCTGCCTGGTTTTGTTCTCGCTCTTTCTCTGGCCCATGTCTGTTTCTCTATGTTTCTCTCTTTTCTTTCTCATCCTGTATGCTTTTGGCTCACCTAGTTTCTCACTGTTCTCCCCTCTGCCCTTTCATTCTCTCTGTCCTTTTACACTCTGTCTCTTTCCCTTGGTTTCTCTGTTTCCGTATCTATCTTTCACCCTGTCAGACTGCTGTTTCCCAACTCATTGTCTGTATTTTTGGCCCTCACTGTGTCTTCCCCAACCCCGTGTTTTTCTCGCAGTTTCTTTCTCTCTTTTGGAGCCTCCCCCTTGCTCCTCTGTCCCGTCTCTCTTGCCCCATCATCCTCACTCCTCATTCCTGCATTTGCTTCCTCCCCAGCAACAGCGTGATCTTGCTGGGTCGGCACAACCTGTTTTATCCTGAAGACACGGGCCAGGTGTTTCAGGTCAGCCACAGCTTCCCACACCCGCTCTACAACATGAGCCTCCTGAAGAATCGATACCTCGGGCCAGGTGATGACTCCAGCCACGACCTCATGCTGCTCCGCCTGTCAGAGCCGGCCGAGATCACAGATGCTGTGCAGGTCGTGGACCTGCCCACCTGGGAGCCAGCACTGGGGACCACATGCTACGCCTCAGGCTGGGGCAGCATCGAACCGGAGGAACGTATGCCAGGGCCAGATGGTGCAGCTGGGAGCCCAGATACCTGGGTCTAAGGGAGGAGGGGACAGGACTTCTGAGTCTGAGGGAGGAGGGGCCAAGGAACCAGGTGGGGTACGGACCACAACAGTGTTTTTTCCTGGCCCGTAGACTTGACTGCCAGGAAACTTCAGTGTGTGGACCTCCATATTATTTCCAATGATGTGTGTGCGCAAGTTCACTATCAGAAGGTGACCAAGTTCATGCTGTGTGCTGGAAGCTGGAGGGGCGGCAAAAGCACCTGCTCAGTGAGTCATCCCTACTCCCAAATCTTGAGGGGAAATGTGAGTGGGGACCTTAATTCTGGGCTGGGGCCCAGGAGCCAACCGGGCATCAGCTTTCCCTGTTCCCCAGCTGTAGCCACGCTGCCTCCCTGTGCCTCATCTCCTTTCCTCCTTCCCCCTTCCTTGACTCCCTCAAGGCAATAGGTGATTCTTACGGCACAGTCCCTGTATCCCTGCGTTCAGCACACGGTTACTAGGCACCTGCTATGCGCCCAGCACTGCCCTAGAGCCTGGGAAGCAGCAGTGAGCAGCCCCTCCCTTCTGCAGCCCCCGTGCCAGTCAGGGGCACAGGCAGGAACAGGGACCACAAGGCAGAAATGCTGGAGGGGGTCAGGAGGTGAAAGGGTTCTGGGGCAGGGAGAAGGGGTAGGGAGTATGACTGGGAGGGGACGTCCTGCAGAAGACGGGAGTGAACAAACACCTGCCGCAGGGGGTGGGGGAGCCATGCAGCACCTGGGGCAGCAGAGGGAGCAGCACCTGCCCAGGTCTGGGAGGAGGGCCCTGGCGGGTGTGAGGAGCCGCGAGGGGGCTGCGTGGCTGGAGTGAGGGATCAGGGACGGGGGCAAGATGGCCTCGCACAGGGAAGAAAGGACCCCTCCTGCAGGGCCTCCCCAGGCCGCAGAAGGACATGCTTTTCCTCTGAGAAGTCAGGAGCTAGGGATGGTGCTGGACAGAAGTGGGAAAGGGCCTGGCTCAGGTGTCCAGAGGCTGCTGCTGGCCTCCCTATGGGATCAGACTGCAAGGAGGAAGGGTGGCAGGGCTGTGGGCGGAGTGATGATGGGGCTGACCTGAGGGTGGCTCCAGGCCTTGTCCCCACCTGGGGCCTCACGCAGCCTCCCTCACAGGCTCCTGGCGCTTAGTCTTTCCCCTCCATTCCATTTTCCACCTGGCCCCAGTGGGTCATTCTGATCACTGAACTGACCATGCCAGCCCTGCTCACAGCCCTCCATGGCTCCCTAGTGCCTTGGAGAGGAGGTGTCTAGTCAGAGAGTAGTCCTGGAGAGGTGGCCTCTGTGATGAGCCACGGGGGCAGCATCCTGCAGATGCTCTTGGCCCTCGTCCCGCTGACCTGTCTGCAAGGACTGTCCTCCTGGACCCTCCCCCCTGCACAGGAGCTGGACCCTGAAGTTCCTTCCCCATCGGCCAGGATTGGAGCCCCTGTCCCCCCTACTGGAATCCCTGCCCACCTTCTTCTGGGAGTCGGCTCTGGAGACCTTTCTCTCTTTTCCCAAAGCTGGGAACTGCTATCTGTTATGTGCCTGTCCGGGTCTGAAAGACAGGATTGCCCAGGCAGAAACTGGGGCTGACCTATCTCACTCTCTCCCCGCTTTTACCCTTAGGGTGATTCTGGGGGCCCACTGATCTGTGATGGTGTGCTTCAAGGTATCACGTCATGGGGCAGTCAACCATGTGCCCTGCCCCAAAAGCCTGCCCTGTACACCAAGGTGGTGCGTTACCGGAAGTGGATCCAGGACACCATCATGGCAAACCCCTGAGCACCCCATCAACTCCCTACTTGTAACGAAAAAAAAAAATCCACCTCAAGTTCTGGCATCACTTGGCTATTCTAGACACCAGGCACTTGGAACCTTGGAAATGACCGGGCCAAGGCTCAAGCCTCCCCAGTTCTATTGACCTTTGTCCTCAGGTGTGGGGTCCAGGGTTGCTAGGAAAAGAAATCAGCAGACACAGGTGTAGACCAGAGTGTTTCTTAAATGGGTGTAATTTTGTCCTCTCCGTGTCCTGGGGGACACTGGCCATGCCTGGAGATATCTCACTCAGTTTCTTTGAGGACCCAGATAGGATGGGGTGTCTGTGTTGTTTGTGGGATACAGAGATGAAGGAGGGGTGGGGTCCACACTGAGAGAGTAGACAGTGACACGTGCTGGATGCTGTCCATGAAGCACTGAGCAGAAGCTGGAGGCTCAACGCACCAGACACTCACAGCAAGGATGGAGCTGAAAACATAATCCACTCTGTCTTGGAGGCACTGGGAAGCCTAGAGAAGGCTGTGAACCGAGGAGGGGGAGGGTCTTCCTGTGGCATGGGATGGGGATGAAGTAAGGAGAGGGACTGGACCCCCTGGAAGCTGATTCACCATGGGGAGAGGTGTGTCGAGGTCCCCCAGACAACACTCAGATTTGATGATTTCCTAGTAGAACTCACAGAAATAAAGAGCTGTTATACTGTGGTTTATTCTGGTTTGTTACATTGACAGGAGACCCACTGAAATCAGCAAAGGAAACAGGCATCTAGGTGGGGGTGTGGAGAAAACAGGGAAAAAGTTTCAGTTGTTTTCTCCTAGTGGGGTGTTGTGGACAGCACCTAAATCACACAGAAGTGATGTATGACCATGTGTATGAAGTATTTCCAACTAAGGAAGTTCACCTGAGCCTTAGTGTCCAGAGTTTTTATTGGGTGTCTGTAGGATAGGCACGGAGTACTGGAATAGCTGACCTTAACTTCTCAGACCTGAGGTTCCCCAGAGTTCAAACAGATACAGCATGGCCCAGAGCCTCAGATGTACAAGAACAGGCATTCATCATGAATCACACTCTTAGCATGAATCATCTGGCACGGCCTGAGGCCCCAGGTATACCAAAGCACTTGGGCCGAATATTCCAAGCGATTAAATGTCATCTCCCAGGAGTTATCCAAGAGTGAGCCCCATACTTGGAAGGTTCAGGCTTTGAGCAGTGCGGGGCTTCTGAGTCAATCTTTTACTGTACGGGGAGTGAGGGAAGGGAGAAGGTGAGGAAACCGCCTGGGGATCTGGTTCTGTCTTGTTGTCAAGTGGACCATGGGGCTATCCCAAGAAGGAGGAATTCAGAAATAGGGGAAGGTCGAGGAAGGACACTGAACTCAAAGGGGATACAGTGATTGGTTTATTTGTCTTCTCTTCGCGTCACTGGTGCTGAGGAATTCCCACCCTGAGGTTATGAAGATGTCTGAACACCTAACACATAGCACTGGAGATACGAGATCGACAAGAGTTTCTTAGCCACAGAGCTTCACAGCCTAGGGCAGGAGGACACTGTACACCAGGCAGGATGACATGGGAATTGCACTCAGGATTGGCTTGAAGAAGCAAGGACTGTGGGAGGTGGGATTTGTTGTAACAAGAGGGCAGGGTGAACTCTGGTTCCCGTGGGGGAATGTGATGGTCTTGTTACAAATTTCTCAAGCTGGCAGGGAATAAAACCCATCAGGGTGAGGACCTTGTGGAGGGCGGCTGCCCCGACTGATAAAGGAAGTAGCCAGGTGGGGGCCTTTCCCGTTGTGGGGGTGGGGGATATATCTGGCAATAGAAACCTTTGAGACTCTTTCAGTTACAAGTACTAAGGCAGCAAATAAAATGGAATCTTATTTTCTGACTTTATACTGCATGAGTGTGAATATATATTTGATTCTGCACAGGGGGTGAGGGAAAGGAGGGGAGGACGAAAGTTCCTTCAGGTCTGGTTTGGGCTTGTGTTCCAGGGTCCAGAGCTCCTTGGAGCTCTTCCTGCGATATGGGACTTTATTTTATTTTATTTTATTTTATTTTATTTTATTTTACATTTTATTTTATTTCATTTCATTTTATTTTATTTTATTTTATTTTATTTTATTTTATCTTAAGTTCTGGGCTACATGTGCAGGATGTGCAGCTTTGTTACGTAGGTAAACGTGTGCCATGGTGATTTGCTGCACCTATCAACCCATCACCTAGGTATTAAGCCCAGCATGCATTAGCTGTTTTTCCTGACACTCTCCCTCTCCCTGACTCCCACAACTGGCCTCAGTGTGTGTTGTTCCCCTCCCTGTGGCCATGTGTTCTCCTTGTTCAGCTCCCACTTATAAGCGAGAACATGCGGTGTTTGGTTTTCTGTGCCTGTGTTAGTTTGCTGAGGATAATGGCTTCCAGCTTCATCCATGTTCCTGCAAAGGACCTGATCTCATTCTTTTTTATGGTTGCATAGGAATTGTTTTTACACATCCAATTGCTGTTGTATTTAACTACAAGTTAATCTAATTAGCATACTAAAAGAGATTAGAGAAGACATTAGGTACATTGAATGAGACAATATATAACATAGGACCAAGGTGAAATACTAGGTAGGAAAAGTATAATAGTTGAAAAAAGTAAAAAAAAAAAAAAATGCATGAGTAGCAGAATGGAAAAGAGGTAAAGAACATAATAGGGACTTTTTAGACCAGATTGAAGGACAGAGACAGAAAAATTTTAAGGAACTGCTAAACCATGTGAGTGCTAGAAGTACAGTCAATGACATTAAAGTCTCAGGAGGAGAAAGCAATGGGAAAGGAGGAAGTATGTGAGTAAATTAGTAGAGACATGTCTGATGGATTTTAAAATATTTGAAAGACCTCAGATCAAAGGATACATACCGTGCCATTGAAGAGGAAGATGGAAAAGCCAAGAAGCCGGAAGACAGTTAGAAATTTCATTGGCAAAGCTTCACTGTTAAAAGTCCTAGAGAGAAAGGATGGCAGAAATATTGGAAGGAAAGAAGGTGGAATCTAGAATATAAATTCATCCCAACAGTTTGGTAGTGTGCACCTGCAGCCTTTTCTAGATAATACCCTATTGTCATACATTGCCTAAGGAAGTGTAAAATGGTCTCCTTATTTATTTATTTATTTATTTATTATTATTTTTTAAATTTTTGAGATGGAGCCTCCCTCTGTCTCCCAGGCTGATGTGCAATGGTGTGATATCACTCACTGCAACCTCTGCCTCCCGGGTTCAAGCAATTCTCTTACGACAGCTGGGTCTGGATCAGTGTAAGCTGCTCTGGTTTTATTGAACAGATGAAATCACATTTTTTGTTTTTCAAAATCTAAGAAATCTTGTAGAGTTAACAGTGGACTCTTATAACAAGAGTTAACACCAGAACTCTTATTCTTGATTCTTTTCTGAGACACCAAAATGAGATTTTTTCAATTCCATCCTAATTCTTTTTTTTTTTTTTTTTTTTTTTTTGAGACATAGTCTGGGTCTTTTGCTCTGGCACTCAGGCTGGAGCACAATGGTGTGATCATAGCTCACTGAACCACCCTTGACCTCCTGGACTTAAGGGATCCTCCTGCTTCAGCCTCCTGAGTAGATGGGGCTACAGGTGCTTGCCACCAAACCGGGCTAATAAAAAAATTTTTTGTTAGAGATAGGGTCTCACTCTGTTGCCCTGGCTAATCTTGAACTTCTGACTTCAAGTGATTCTTCAGCCTTGGACTCCCAAAGCACTAGGATTGCTGGCATGAGCCACTCACCGTGCCTGGCTTGCAACTTAATCTTGGAGTGTATAGACTTGGCTCCCGATAGATAGCTAGACATTTCAGTGAGAAGCAGGCATTGGATTTTGCATGAGGACAATTCTGACCTAGGAGGGCAGGTCAACAGGAATCCCCGTTGTACAAATAGAGTGCACAGGTGTGGAGAATGAGGAGTGAGGAGCCACTGGAACCCCATATTGTTTATTGGACATTGGATTTCGAAATAATAGGGAACTTGGTCTGGGAGACTCGTGTTTCTGGATTGGAGAATCCAATCTCCAATGGTATCACAAGGTTTTATGATGAGAGGAGAAATATATGTGGGGAACTATTTTCTGAGTGTGGAAGTGCAAGAATCAGAGAGCACTGAATGCCGAAGCTTCTATTTCAGGAACATGGTGAGTTGGAGGTCCACCTTCTGGGCCTAGACTGGTATAGGGACCAGAAGGTCTCACAATCCCATGGTTCTGATATTTCAGGGCAAATTAGGTCTTGGGGTGCAAAGGAAGTACTTGGGACTTAGGCACATGAGACTTTGTATTGAAAATCAATGATTGGGGCTGGCCGTGGTGGCTCACGCCCGTAATCCCATCACTTTGGGAGGCCAAAGTGGGAGGATCGCTTAGGAGCCTAGGAGTTGGAGACCAGCCTAGGCAACATAGCCAGACTCTCTCTCTACAAAACATTAAAGATTAGCTGGATGTGGTGGTGCATGCTTGTGGTCTCAGCTATCCTGGAGGCTGAGACAGGAGAATCAGTTGAGTCTGGGAGTTCAAGGCTACAGTGAACTGTGATCAAGCCACTGCACTCCAGCCTGGGCAAGAGTGAGATTCTGTCTCAGAATCTTTTTTTTTTTTTAAAAAAGAGTCAGTGATCATCCCAACCCCTGTTGCTGTTCATCCTGAGGCTGCCTTCTCTGGCTTTGTCCCCTAGGTTATGTCTCCATGATCCATAGGCCCTGCCCAATCTGGCCTCACACCCTGGGAATGCCTCCAGACTTATCTAGTATTGTGTGGAACGGCAAGTGCTGGCTGTCCCTCCCCTTCCACAGCTCTGGGTATGGGAGGGGGTTGTCCAGCCTCCAGCCTCATAGGAAGGGCCTTGATCAGCATCTAGGTGCCTGCAGGGCAGGGGCGGAGTCCTGGAGAATAAAGCCCTTTATAGGGCTTTATAGGGAGGCTCCCCAGCCCCAAGCTCTCCGCCTGGCTGTGGACATCTGTGTCAGCATGTGGGTCCTGGTTCTCTTCATCGCCTTGTCTGTGGGGTGCACTGGTGAGATGGACAGATAAAGGAAAGGGGGCGGGTTCTGACTCTTATGCTGAAGCCCTTTCCCTCCCACCCAGCACCCCGCCCTCGTCCCTTCCGCCCACAGTTCATCCCAGACAATGTGCCCCTGACTCCTCCACACGGCAGTAGTCCTCATGCCCACACTAGGTCCCCGCTCCCTCCCACTTACCTCAGACCTTTCTTCCCATTGCCCAGCCAAATCCCTGCTCCCAGCCGCTTTACTAAAGAGCAAGTTCTGGGCATCTCTGTGTTTCTCTTTATGGGGCTCAAAACCTTTCAAGGACCTCTCTCCATGCCATTGGTTCCTTGGACCCTATCATCGGGCTGCCTCCTGAGCCCCTCAGTCCTACCACAGTCTACTGACTTGTCCCGTTCAGCTGTGAGCATTGAACCCTGTGCCCTGGACCTTGACACCTGGCTTCCCAGCCTTGTCCCAGGAAACCGAGATTCCACCGGATTCCACCGGACACTTCCTTCTTCCCCCAAGGCTATCTGGCCTAAGACAACAAATGCTGCCCCCACCCCCAGTCTGGCACTGGGGCTCTGAAAACTGCTCCTTCCCTGACTCTTTGCCCCAGGCTCTTCATTCAATGGCCAGCCTTTTCCATGGGAAAAATAGGAGCACCCCCAACCACATCCCCAACCACAACAGCCAGTTCTCTGATGCCCTAAATCTGCACCCTTTTCAAAACCTCAAAAACAAAACAAAACAAAGCGAGAAACAACCCAGACAGAACGGTTTGCTTAAACTTGGACATGGTAAACCGTCCCAAACCTTCCTCTCCCAGCAACTAAACCTCTCCACTGGGCACTTATCCCTGGTTTCTGGAACCCCTTATTTTCTTAGAACCCACAGCTTCCACCACAGTTTCCCTTCTCCCAGTGTAAGACCCCAAATCACTCCAAATGACCCAACCCCCAACCCGATGCCTGCTCCAGATGCTGTCCCATGTCCCCTACTCTGATTTCGGGTCAGCTCTGCTCTCAGAGCGTGAAGTCTCCCTACCTGGTCCAGCCACCAACCTGCCAACCCAGGGAATAGCTACAGAATTCCCAGCCCTCCCGGGACCCCTTGCTTGTGTCCTGGACTCCCAGTCCTCGTCCTCTGCCCCCATATCTCTTCAAACCCACAGCTCAGCTCCCTCCCCTATCCAATTCTTCTGGGTCTGATCCCCCTGACCCAGCACCCCCTCTGCAGGTGCAGTGCCCCTCATCCAGTCTCGGATTGTGGGAGGCTGGGAGTGCGAGAAGCATTCCCAACCCTGGCAGGCGGCTGTGTACAGTCATGGATGGGCACACTGTGGGGGTGTCCTGGTGTACCCCCAGTGGGTGCTCACAGCTGCCCATTGCCTAAAGAAGTAAGTAGGATCCTGGGAACTAGGGAGGGAATGTCTGTGTCCCACAGGAATAACAGCTGGATACTTCCCCCAGGGTCACTTCTTAGGTGAGACTTAAGAGTAAAGGAGAGAGGGAAAGTCCTGGCCCAGGTTGCACTGGGAGGCAGGGCTGGGGCTGGACCACTCTCCCCATGGCTGCCTGTGTCTCTCTCTGTGTCTGATCTCACTGTGTCTCTTGGTGTCTGGCTCTGGTTGTGTCTGTATGGTTGTGTCTGTATGTGTTTTGGTCTCTATCTCCTTCCCTTTTTCTGTCTCCCTGTCTTGGTGTCTCCCCCATCTCTGTGTGTCTCTGGGTCTTTCTGCGGCCATCTCTGTCTCCTTGTGTCTCACCCTCCATCTCTTTGCCTGTCTTTCTCCTGGGTCTCTGCCTCAGCCCTTCGTCATCACTACTGAACACACCCAGATGGGCCTGTGACAGTGGGTGGGGAGCACCCCGAAAAAGGAAGGGCTTTAAGCTCAGTGTGTGTGTGTGTGTGTGTGTGTGTGTGTGTGTGTGAGGGGGTGCCTGTCACTGCACAGCACTCTCTCCAGGACAACCCTCCACCCTGGGGAGACACAGGGAAGGTTGGTTTCAGCCGCAGCTGGGTGCGCAATTGAGGGAGGAAAGAGAAGGAAAAACAAGAAAGGAGGGGGAAGGTGGCTGAGCGCAGTGGCCCATGCCTGTAATCCCAGCACTTTGATAGGCCAAGATGGGTGGATCACCTGAGGTCAGGAGTTCGAGACCAGCCAGGCCAACATGGCGAAACCCCATCTCTACTAAAAATACAAAAAGTAACCAGGCGTGGTGGTGCATGCCTGCAATCCCAGTTACTAGGGAAGCTGGGACAAGAGAATTGCTTGAACCTGGGAGGCGGAGGTTGCAGTGAGCCTTGATTGTGCCACTGCACTCCAACTGGTGACAGAGCAAAATTCCATCTCAGAAACAAACAAACAATAACAAAAACAAAGAAAAACAAAAGCGAAAGGAGGGGAAAGGAGCTGGAGAAAGAAGGGAGGCTGCAGCCCTGAGCCCCAGCTTCAGGTGAGCCACCCTCACGCCTCTCCTCCTCCTCCTGCTACCCCACCCCCTTCAGATGCCTCCCTGGCCTCCCTCCTTTTTCTCTCCCACACTGTATCACCCCGGCTTCCTCTCCGCTGTTTCTCATTCTCTCTCTGACTTCCCGCGTCCTTTTCTCATTTGTCCATTTCTCACTCCCTTCCTGGTTCTGTTCCTTGTCCCTTCCTCTTGCCCGTGTCTGTTTCTCACTGTCTCTGTCTCTTCTTTGCCCATCCTAATCCTCACTGTTCTCCCCTCTGCTTTTGTCATTCCTGTGCCTTTTTGTGCTCTCTCTTCTCCACTTCGTCTCTCTCAGTTTCTGTGTCTGCCTCTCACACAACCACACTCCTGTTCTCTAATTCACTGTCTGTATTTCACCATGACTTGTCTCCCCCACCCCTGTTTTTCTCACTGTTTCTTTTTCTCCCCTTTGGAGTCTCCCTTATCCTCCCCTGCCCCATCTACCTTTCCCCATTTTTTCTCTCCTCATGCATCCACCCCTTTCCTCCCCAGGAATAGCCAGGTCTGGCTGGGCTGGCACAACCTGTTTGAGCCTGAAGACACAGGCCAGAGGGTCCCTGTCAGCCACAGCTTCCCACACCCGCTCTACAATATGAGCCTTCTGAAGCGTCGAAGCCTTAGACCGGATGAAGACTCCAGCCACGACCTCATGCTGCTCCGCCTGTCGGAGCCTGCCAAGATCACAGACGCTGTGAAGGTCCTGGGCCTGCCCACCCAGGAGCCAGCACCTGGGACCACCTGCTATGCCTCAGGCTGGGGCAGCATCCAACCAAAGGAGTGTACGCCTGGGCCAGACAGTGTAGCTGGGAGCCCAGATGCCTGGGTCTGAGGGAAGTGGGGCCAAAGAACCAGGGGGGGTCCGGCCACAGCCCAGTTTTTGCTCTGACCCATAGTCCTGCGCCCAAAGAGTCTTCAGTGTGTGAGCCTCCATCTCCTGTCCAACGACATGTGTGCTGGAGCTTACTCTGAGAAGGTGACAGCGTTCATGTTGTGTGCTGGGCTCTGGACAGGTGGTAAAGACACTTGTGGGGTGAGTCATCCTTACTCCCAACGTCTGGAGGGGAAAGGTGAGTGGAGACCCTAATTCTGGGCTGGGATCTGAAAACCAACCAGACATCTGCCTCCCCTGGTGCCCAGCTGTAGCCACGCCCCCTCCCCATGCCTCATCTGCCACCCTCCTCCCCCTTCCCTGACTCCCTCAACGCGACAGGCGATTCTCACAGCATAATCCACCCATTCCGGTGTTGGGCACATGCCTACTGGGCACCTGCTGCGTGACCAGCGTTGTCATAGACCCTGGGAAGCAGCAGTGAACAGACAGAGCACCCCCATGCTGGTGAGGGGCACAGGCAGGAATGGGGACCACAACGCGGAAATGCTGGAGGGTATCAGGAAGTGATCGGGCTCTGGGGCAGGGAGGAGGGGTGGGGAGTGTGACTGCGAGGGGACATCCTGCAGAAGGTAGGAGTGAGCAAACACCTGCCGCAGGGAAGGGGAGAGCCCTGCGGCACCTGGGGGAGCAGAGGGAGCAGCACCTGCTCAGGCCTGGGAGGAGGGGCCTGGAGGGTGTGAGGAGTAGCGAGGGGTCTACATGGCTGGAGCGAGAGACAAGGGGCAGGGCGCGAGATGGCCTCACATGGGGAAGAGAGGGCCCCTTCCGGAGGGCCTCACCTGGGCCACAGGAGGACACTGCTTTTCCTCAGAGGAGTCAGGAGCTATGGATGGTGCTGGACAGAAGCGGGAAAGGGCCTGGCTCAGGTGTCCAGAGGCTGCTGCTGGCCTCCCTGTGGGATCAGACTGCAGGGGGGGAGGGCAGCCGGGGTGTTGGGGAAGTGATGATGAGGATGACCTGAGGTGGCTCCAGGCCTTGTCCCCACTTGGGCCCTCACCCAGCCTCCCTCACAGTCTCCTGGCCCTCAGTCTCTCCCCTCCACTCCATTCTCCACCTGGCCCCCAGTGGGTCATTGTGATCACTGAACTGACCATGGCCAGCCCTGCCTGTGGCCCTCCATGGCTCCCAGATGCCCTGGAGAGGGGACATCTAGTCAGAGAGTAGTCCTGGAGAGGTGACCTCTGTGATGCACCTGCAGATGGTCCAGCTCCTCCTCCCACTGACCTGTCTGCAGGGACTGTCCTCCTGGACCCTGCCCCCTGTGCAGGAGCTGGACCCTGAAGTCCCTTCCCCATAGACCAGGACTGGAGCCTTGTTCCCTCTGTTGGACTCTCCGCCCATACTCTTGTGGGAGTGGGTTCTGGAGACGTTTCTCTCTGTTCGTGAGAGCTGGGAATTGCTCTCAGTCACCTACCTGCACAGTTCTGAGAGACGGAGTTGCCTAGGCAGATATTGGGGCCAATCTTTCTCACTGTCTCTCTCCCCCTTTACCCTTAGGGTGATTCTGGGGGTCCACTTGTCTGTAATGGTGTGCTTCAGGGTATCACGTCCTGGGGCCCTGAGTCTTGTGCCCTGCCTGAAAAGCCTGCTGTGTATACCAAGGTGGTGCATTACCGGAAGTGGATCAAGGACACGATCGCAGCCAACCCCTGAGTGCCCCCCGTCCCACTCCTACCTCTAGTAGATTTAAATCCACCTCACGTTCTGGCATTACTTGGCCTTTCTGGATGCTGGACACCTGAAGCTTGGAACTCACCTGGCCAAAGCTTGAGCCTCCTGAGTCCTACTGACCTGTGCTCTCTGGTGTGGATTCCAGGGCCGCTAGGAAAAGGAATGGGCAGACACAGGTGTATGCCAGTGTTTCTGAAATTCGTGTAATTTCATCCTCTCCTTCGGAACACTGGCTGTGTCTGGAGACTTCTCACTCAGTTTCAGTGAGGACACACACAACCATGTTGTTTGTGGTGTGCAGAGACGGGAGGGGTGGGGCCCACCCTGGAAGAGCGGACAGTGACACAAGGTGGACACTCTCTACGGATCACTGAACATAAGCTGGAGGCACAACGCACGAGGCACGTGCACAGCAAGGATGACACTGAAAACATAGCCCACTCTGTCCTGGGGGCACTGGGAAGCCTAGAGAAGACCGTGAGCAGAAAGAAGGGGAGGGTCCTCCTATGTTGTTGAAGGAGGGACTAAGGGGAAAAACTGGAAGCTGATTAATTACAGGAGGTGTGTTCAGGTTCCCCAACCACCGCCAGATTCGATGATTTCCTAGCAGGACTTCCAGAAATAGAGAAAGCCATCATGCTGTGGTTTATTATGGTTTGTTACATCGATAGGATACATATTGAAATCAGCAAATAAAACAGACGTATAGATTACAGTGTGGAGAAAACAGAGGAAAACTTGTAGTTACGAAGATGAGCAACTTGGCTTTGCTAAGTTTTCAGACTGTCAGGAAGTGAAACCTATTAGGCTGAGGACCTTGTGGAGTGTAGCTGATCCAGCTGATAAAGGAACTAGCTAGGTAGGGGCCTTTCCCTTTGGATGGAGGGCATATCTGACAGTTATTCTCTCCAAGTAGAGTCTTATGGACAACACATCATTCTCCCTGCAAGGATACATGATAATATGTATGAAGTAATCCCAACTAAGGAAGCTCACCTGATCCTTAGTGTCCAGGGTTTTTACTGGGGGTCTGTAGGATGAGTATGGAGTACTTGAATAACTGACCTTAAGTCCTCAGACCTGAGGTTCTCTAGAGTTCAAACAGATACAGCACGGCCCAGAGTCCCAGATGTACAAAAACAGGCATGCATCACAAATCCCATTTTTAGCATGAAGCGTCTGGCATGGCCTAAGGCCCCAAGTATACCAAGGCACTTGGGCAGAACAGTCCAAGGAATCAAATATCATCTCCCAGGAGTTATTCAAGGATGAGCCCTTTACTTGGAATGTACAGGTTTTGAGCAGTGCAGGGCTGCTGCGTCAACCTTTTACTGTACAGGGGGTGAGGGAAAGGGAGAGGATAAGGAAACCCCCCTGGGGATTTGGTTTGGTCTTGTGATCAGGTGATCTATGGAGCTATCCCTACAAAGAAGAATCCAGAAATAGGGGAAAATTGAGGAATGACACTGAACTCAAAGAGCATTCAATCATTGTTTTATTTGCCTTCTTTTCACACCATTGGTGAGGGAGGAATTCCCACCCTGGGGTTATGAAGATGGTTGAACACCCCACACATAGCACTGGAGATATGAGATCAACAGTTTCTTAGCCACAGAGATTCACAGCCTAGAGCAGGAGGAAACTGCACACCATGCAAGATGACATGGGGGATGCGCTCAGGATTGGCATGAAGAAGCAAGGACTGGCTTTAGAGTAGACAAAGGACTTGATTTATTTGGCACAGCCGGCAGCGTGAGGTTCATGTACATATGGGTTCACAGCTATCAGTGGTTTATTCCATTTTCACAGCTGAATAGGATTCCATTGTATGGATACACCACAGTTTATTTGTCTACTCACCAGTTTATGGAACATCTGTCACTGCTTTAATACTGTAAACTTCCCTCTCCCCAATCTTCCTTATTATTTAACTTATTGTATACGATTTGTACGAATTTACAATATTATATTAACACATATAAATGTATATCTAATTTGTGATTTATTTTATTGGGTTTATTTTCTATTGTTTGTATCTCTCAGCTACAACAAGGACAAGGATCTTTGCCAGTTTTGTTCACTGGTTTATCCAAAGCCCCTAAAACAGTGCCTGGCACATAGTAGGTACGTGATAAGTACTTACTGAGTAAATGAGAATGAACGGATGGCCACAAACTATTTCTATCACTGTGTTTCTCAGTTGAGCTTCTCGATCGGGGTACTGCCTGTCTGACTGTTTCCATCTGCCATGGAGACAGACAACTAACACACACACACTCTCACTCTATCTGTCTCCCAGTGGTTGACACTCTCTCCATCACTCTTTCCTGTTTCTTTCAGTAGATCTCTCACTGGAGAGATCTCTGGGTCTCTGGAGGGTGGTTGGGGTCTTGTCAGGGTTCTGGAGTTGGGAATCTAGAGCAGAGGAGTGGAGTTTGGAGCCTGGGTCTGTGGTCTGGAGTCAACCTTCAGAATCTCCAGTTTGTGCTGTGGAATCTAGAGCTTCGAATCTGAATTCTGGGATTTTGGGGTTTGGAGTGAAGCATCTGGAATTTAGACCAGACATCAGTAAACTATTTCTGTAAAAGTTCAGAAAGTAATTATGTTAGGCTTTGTGGGCCAGACAGTCTGTGCTGTAATTGCTCGTTTCTGCTGTCCCAGCATAAGAGCAGTCATAGACAACACGTGAAGGAATTAATCTATGTTCCAACCAAATGTTATTTACAAAAAGACACAGCAGCTGGATTTGGCCTGCAGGCGTAATTTATTTCCTTTTGATTAAACTGAAACCTGGAAAATGGAATCCAGAAATGGAAGTCTTGGTTCTAGAGGCCAAAGACTGGTCTGATGTCTAGAGTTTGGACCACCAGTCTGATTTCCAGGAAGATGAAGCTCAAAGTCTAGAATCTGAATTTGGTGACTGAGATCTTCATTTTGGAGTTAAGACTCTTTGTATGTAGATCACAAAAGACTGTCACTTCATTGCAGGACAGTTTAGCCCTGAAATTGGGGTTTAGCCTGGGAGGGTTCTTGGCTTCACCCAGGAAAGGATTCAAGGGTGAGCTGGTGGTGTGAGACAGCAGTCTTAGGAGTGGTGCTGTTCCTTGCGAAGCAGGGCTAACTCATAGGCAGTGTGCCCAGAGTCAGCCATCTATGGGCTCTTGGCAACTATATTTATACTCATGTAAATCCACTTTCAATTACATGCAAATTGAGTAATGCACCAATGCAAATTGAGGGGTCGTTTATTTAGAACTTTCTTTTTTTTTTTTTTTTTTTTTTTTTTGAGACGGAGTCTGGCTCTGTCGCCCAGGCTGGAGTGCAGTGGCCGGATCTCAGCTCACTGCAAGCTCCGCCTCCCGGGTTTACGCCATTCTCCTGCCTCAGCCTCCCGAGTAGCTGGGACCACAGGTGCCGCCACCACGCCTGGCTAGTTTTTTTGTATTTTTAGTAGAGACGGAGTTTCACCGTGTTAGGATGGTCTCGATCTCCTGACCTCGTGATCCGCCCGTCTCGGCCTCCCAAAGTGCTGGGATTACAGGCTTGGGCACGATGCCGAGTTATTTAGAACTTTCTAGGAAAGAGGCAGTAAAGGAGCAGTAACTTCCGGGTCACTGCCATGAAGGAGTTAACTTCTGGGTCATTGCCATGGAAAGGGGAAGTAACTTCGGGGTCATTGCCATGGCATTTATAAACTGTCATGGCACTGGTGAGGGTGTTCTATACCAATGAGCAATGAAACAGATGAGGTCACTTTGTCTTCATCTGGTCATTTCCTGCTGGTTTTTTTTTTTTTTCTTTTTAAAATTTTATCTTATGTCTGAACTTGTTTTGGTCAGCAGGGTCGTGACAGAAAACACGGTCATTGCCATGGAAAGGGGAAGTAACTTCGGGGTCATTGCCATGGCATTTATAAACTGTCATGGCACTGGTGAGGGTGTTCTATACCAATGAGCAATGAGAGCAGATAGGGATCACTTTTGTCTTCATCTGGTCATTCCTGCTGGTTTTTTTTTTTTTTTTCCTTTTTTAAAATTTTATCCTGTCTGAACTTGTTTTGGTCAGCAGGGTCGTGACCAGAAAACACGCCTTGCCAGTCTCCTACCTGACCTTTATAAAACATTGCCTAGATAATCATGAAAAGTCGTTTGGACTAGTTGTCCATATAACACAGAGAGAGAGGCCTGCCCTTCCTACCACTGGGGCCTCCCGCCTGCTCCCTGCGATTGGACATGTTTCTATCCAACTAACTGAGGTCTGACATCATCCTATGGAGTTGACCTGAACTGTCTGTCTTTTCCTCAGAGCAAGGAGTGTTGCAGGGGCCCAGGTGTCACCATTTTGTTATTATAGGCCAACCCCTCCAGGCTGCTTGTAGAACCATCTGAGGCACAATTACTGATCAAGTTCATGTCTATCCAGGTAAACCTAAGATGAGTAAAACGATCTATCCGTCCATTCACTAAGGTCATATGAACTGTCCACTCATCCCCTGAGGTCTTATGAATGTTTTTTCTTTTAGAGACAGGGTCTTGCTCTGTCACCCAGGCTGGTGTGATCATAGCTCACTGCAGCCAAGAACTCCTGGGCTCAAGCAACTGTTGTGCCTCAGTCTCCTGAGTAGTTGAGGCTATAGGTGCACATTACCACACCCAGCTAATTAAAAACTTTTTTTTGTAGAGATAGAGTCTCGCTATATTGCCCAGTCTGGTCTCAAACTCCTGGCCTCAAGCAATCCTGTTGCCTCAGCCTCCAAAGTGCTGCAGTGCCTGGTCCCTGTGAATTTCTTTTTTTTTTTTTTTTTTTGAGATGAAGTCTTACTCTGTTGCCCAGGCTGGAGTGCAGTGGCGCCATCTCAGCTCACTGCAACCTCCACTTCCTGGGTTCAAGTAATTCTCCTGCCTCAGCCTTTTGAGTAGCTGGGATTACAGGCATGTGCCACGAGGCCTGGCTAATTTTTGTTTTTTTAGTAGTGACAGAGTTTTGCCATGTTAGCCGGGTTGGTCTCGAACTCCTGACCTCAGGTGATCTGCCCGCCATGGCCTCCCAAAGTGGGTTAGGTTTAGATTTCTATGTGTAGAAATTGTATAAATAGGTTAATAGTGTTATGAAAACATATTTTCATTCTTTTTTATTGTGGTTAAGTACATAAAATATAAAATTTACAGTTAGTGACATTTAGTACATTCACGATGTACAACCACCACCACTATTAATCCAGGACAT